CCACCAGTCCCTTCATCAGTTTCCAGCCTCCACCAGTCCCTTCATCATCAGGTTCCTCACTTCCGCTCTGCTGGCCAGAGGTCAAGCAGCTCGGAGACGCCGGCTCTGGACACCAGGTGGCAGCGCCGCGTTTCAAACTGTCCGCTTGTGTTCGTTAAAGATGGAATCCAACAATTTTCAGTCAGGTCATCTGGACAGTTTCTTTTTTTGTGCTGAAACGTTTCACCTTCCATCCAGAAGGCTTCATCAGTCAAGGAAACGCACAACACAAAACTGATTCTTCCCCCAACAGCTTACTCCAAAGTGGAACAAACCAGTGTTGTTGGTGCTAAGATGGTGTCTCTGACACGCCCCCTCCTCCAGTGACCTCTCCCTCGTCGACAGTCATGTCAAACTGATGAAGCCTTCTGGATGGAAGGTGAAACGTTTCAGCACAAAAACAGAAACTGTCCAGATGACCTGACTGAAAATTGTTGGATTGTGCACCTGGAGCATGGACTTTGTTCGTGAAGATGGAATCGTGTCAGCGAGTTCTTTCTCTTTAGTGTTGAAGAATAAAAAGTTAACTGGACTGAAGAGTCGTCTGAGTGGAATCTGGAGATTGTTTGACTTTAAAAATCCACTTTTTATTCCTCTATCATGAGCGCTGCCGTCTGTTTACTGAAGCAACAGGTTCATCAGAGCAGGTCTTAACATTCAAACAGATCTGAACAGATCCATCAATCATAAACCACCTCAGCGTTTCTGTTTCATGAGACGTGCAGAAAAACAACTACTTGATGAATTTATTTCTGTTCCGTCGGGTTTTAGACACAAACAGAAACTTTTCTGAGAGAACGAACAGAACCTGTAAAGCACGTCTTGGTTCTGGCGCTGATCTGGAGCAGAACTTTTAGGATTGTCTGAAACGTTCTGACAGAAACATGAATAGAACTTGAGTGAGCAGATTTTTACCAACAGTACCACGAGGAGTTCTGCTGGACTCGGATGTACTGGACCTGTAACCCAGATAAACAACATGTCCAAAACCTGCGGTTTGTCCTTCCTCACTCCTCCTCTTCCTCAGCCTCTGGAGTCTGAGCAGGAGATGCTTTTACAGAGAAGAATGCTCAGACAGAACCCTGATCCGAGCCTAGAACCAGGCTTTTGGACCCGCTGCTGACTGACTGGATGTTCCTCCTTCTCTCTGGTCCTCCACCTGTTTCCATGGAGATAAAACCGACTGATCCAACGATCTGAGGGAGATCCTCTCAGTCTTCTGGGCTGAAGCTGATCCAGTGTTCTGGATCTGGGCCGTGTCCTGTTGAGCTCCTCTGCTGCTCAGAGAGGAACATCTTTATCTGCTGAGTCTTTACTCACCTCACAGAGTCCGAGTCAGTGTTTCTTTATTCTTTATCATACACACCACATGTGGTACATGAGGTGGAACGAAACTGTGCACAGGGTCCCAGTTACATCCAACAAAATATAAAATGTAAAAGAAAAACAGTAATAAGGTCTAAGATATGAACTAAGAAATACGCTAAACTAAGAATACACTAAGCACTAATAGTACAAAAACAATACGCTGAACAACAGCAGCACGAACATGAGTCTGTGTGAGCAGAGGAGTACACATGAACACAGCAGCATGAAACAGATCAGCAGCAGCATGAAACAGATCAGTAGCAGCATGAAACAGATCAGCAGCAGCACAAAACAGATCAGTAGCAGCATGAAACAGATCAGTAGCAGCATGAAACAGATCAGCAGCAACATGAAACAGATCAGCAGCAG